ATGAATTAGCATGGCTTGTTCACTCTTTGTCCTAAATACCCACTGTCACTTCTCATTTGCCTCCAGATGCCACCTGAGCTCAAGGCACTGTCATGTCTTGCTGGGATCACTGCCTCGGCCTCTTAAATCAACTCTCTGAGCTGCAGCTCCAGTCCGTTCTCCACTCTGCAGTGCCAAGGACCTTTCTAAAGTGCAAACCTGATCTTGTCATCCTTTTTTTCTGTTCTTTTTCAAATCTCTGAACACTCCTCAGAGTCGTCCTAAAGAAAAAATCATTATTATGACTTCCAAATCCCTTCATGCCCTGGACCTATCCACCTCCCCACCCTCATCGTCTTCTCATGTAAAATGCGAATGAATAACACAGGACTGATTTCTGATTCCGCACATGTCAGTTTGGTAAAGGAGGCGAATGAAAAAGAAATGAACCACTAAAAGAATATATACCATTTGCTTTAAATGCTATAAAAATAGGTGACAGAAATAATTATGGACTCCGCTGGGAAGGTGCCCAGGAAGTTCTTTTTCCCTATTCTAAGATTGAGAACCAGGAGGAAGAACAATTTAGGGAAGATTATCAAGATCTGTTTTTGCTAATAAGGATATCTGTAATACATTTTTAAAGTATTTGCTGCTGGTTTTAGATATATTTATGTATTGCCCAAAGCAGTAACTCTCAACTTCTCAGACGACTTGTCATTTACTATAATGAAGACCCCAGAACTACCAGTGGAAACACAGCATTTTCATCCATCTATCTTCTAAATGGAGTCTCATATTTATGTGTGTGTGAGGGGCAGGGGATGGAGGTGGGATACTCTTTTCTAATTTTTTCCTGACTAATCCTAATCTCTTCTGACTTTCTCAGTTATGCACATTATATCTTCAGGAATCAGCTCAATTCTTTCTTTTGGGAAACTTCTCGACTGCCCTAGTCTGGATGAAATGCATTTCAACATGCAAGGGCAACAGAGGGTGCAAACCCCCATCTCAGCAATCATCATTCTGTATTATAATGCTTTCTTCAGAGTAAATTATGTCCCCATGTCCATCTCTATAAAAGTCTCATAGTAGGTGATCAATATGTATTTGTAACTATGTAAAACACCTAACACAAATATTATACTTTTGCACACTTGAATTCAAAACAGTTTTATGATAGGCAACTTCTAAGATGACTTCCAATAATCCCCTATGGTCCTTAGTCCCCGCTCTTTGAGTGGGAGCTGGACCTAGTGTCTTGTTTCTAATGACTAGCATATAGCAATAATGATGGGATGTCACTTCTGAGATTAGATAACAAAAGACCATGACTCTGTCTTGCTCACTGTCTCTCCATCTTTTGCTGGCTCACTCTGAGGGAAGCAGGTACTCTGTTATGAGCTGCCCTATGGAAAGACCCATGTGGTAAGGAGCTGATGTCTCTCTAGCCATCAGCCTGCAAGAACCTGCCACTGGCCATGCGAATGAGCCTGGAAGCAAGACTTTCCTCGACTGGGCCTTGAGATGACTGCGGCCCCAGCCAACATCTTGATTGAAGCCTTAGGAGAGACTCTGAGTAAGAATCACTCAGCTAAGCCACCCTTGGACTCCTGATCCACAGAACTGTGAAATCATAAATGTTTGTTGTTTTAAGCTGCTAGATTTTGGAGTAATTTATTACAAAACAATAAATAACTAATAAAGGTTGTGTGTATATGTGGGAGAGGGCTTATGAGGCAATATCAAGGTATTTTATCCAGGCAGGATATATACCACAAGACCACACATATTTTTTATTTTGGAGAATTTATCATGGCCCTGGGTCTGCCCTTTGGCTTGGAAACTCAAATCCAGATCTGTCAGTTTGGTATGAAATAGATTCATCTTTGGGTCAGATTTATGTGACTCATATGACAACACCAAATGCTAGTTATAAATTTACAATAAGACAAAAAATAATTATGCTAGCCAGCATACAAAAAACATTTATGTCCCCATGACAACCACTTTCTCTCTCTGAAGGCAAAATTTAAAGTCAAATAAGAATGAGAGAGTTGCTTGATGGACATAGACTCAGAACAAAGGAAATTTAATACAGGTTTCAAAGGTTTAATGTCAGCAGACTAAGAGGACCACCTCGTACTAGAGATACATTCATCAGTGGGACCAGACACCTCCTCAGCTGTTGGTTACAACTCCATGAGCCTATCTCTGTCCCAAGATGGACTCGTCAATGGGCCTGGAATTTCTCTAATCACTTGGCTAAGCCTCCTTCCTTTTCTGGGTGGTAACTGGCCAACATTTCATATAGTGACTCTGGTTTTCTAGACTATGATGATAACCAGCCCCTCTTTGGAATGAGAGATCCTTTCTGTGGGTGTGTTAATACATAGGTCATGTTATGGTCTCCTCTTGCTGGTCTAGGAGTCATTTTACATCTTCAAAGTAAGTTTAATCCTAATTATATTTATTAAGAACTGCCTAAGAATTTTATTTATGGATTATCTTAATTTACTCTGTGTGATAACTGAATGAGAAAGGATACTAATATCCTATTACCAAGAAGGAGACTAAAGCAGAGAGGATAAACTCAAAATCTCATAGCTAATACAAGTTGGAACTTTGTTTTGCCTTAATTCATCTTGTAAAGAGATTTCCTAACCACCTTTGCTGTCTCTATTGCCTCTACACCAGTGGTTCTCAAACTTGAACAATTGTCAGATTTATCTGAAGGGTTTGTTAAAGCATAGATTGCTGGGCTCTTCTTCCATGGTTTCTGATTCAGGAGGTTTGGGGTGGGGCCTGAGAAAATGCATTTCTAACGTGTCCCGAGCTGATACTGATGCTACTGATCCAGGGACCATATATTTAGGTTAGAAACACCTCTTTTTTGGAATATTCCAATAGTTTCTTGCCTCTTATCAATTTTCTAAGTGCAACCAGAGTGATCTTTCTAATTTTACTTGGAAATATTTATTGAGTGTCAGGCACTGTGCTCGGCATAGAGGATGCAATAATGAGCAAAATAGGCAAGAATCCTGATATCACAATAATGTGGAGCTGGGTGTTTGCCTAGAACACTTCCTTTTCTTGGCTGAACACCATGTAATGTTGACCATGCTCTCCTTTCCATCAGTGTAAAATAGAGAAGTATTATAATTAAAGTTCTATTCCTGTAATCAGCTCACAAAATGGTTGAGTTATCCCCGTGCTCTTTGACTTTGTTCTGTGAAGTTACTTGGTAGAATAATTAAAACTACAGCTTATTTTTCACCCTAAGATAAGTTCAGAGTTAGGTAAGCAGGAATATGAGAGAAAATGAGATAAGAGTTTTCAGGCTTATTTTTTCATTTTTGTAAAACTTTTCAAAACCACTCTTTTATCTTTAGAAAGTTGGGGCAGCAGGGATGGCTTAGAATTGTTCCCTAAGTCCTGCCTTCCTTCTGTGAAGATCTATATGTTTTGTTTCCCTGCTCCTACCCATAGGACCAGTCCCAGCAAGAGTGAAGACCCAACTGTTCTGGGCATAGTTAGTCCAGAAAAATGCTCACTACTGCTAGTCACAATGATCTTTGTCTCTCTTCTCTTTTTCTTTTAAGAGATTGAAAACTTTTTTTTTTTTTTTTTTTTGGTATGGGTAGAAAAGGCCTAAAATTTTGCTAATCTGAAATTTTGGCTGTTTAATTCTTTGTTATTATAGGATAAATTCTTGGTCTAATCAACTAAGTTAAAATAGAAGTACCTTGAATTCTTGTCTCAAAACATGGCCCTTTCTCAGGCTGATGTGACAGATCATGTGTCTTCAGGATGGCAAAGTAGAGTATGTGGGGCAGGTTGGTTGTTTTTGAGAATTTGATCCCATGGTCAACAGAAACCTACTGAAAGCTTTAAACTGGGGAAAGAGAGGGACTAGGTATGCGTTCTGTATCATGTATTTAGCTTTCTATGTGGAGAAGGAGGGAACTGGAGGCAGGGAGGGAACTGGAGGCAGGGAGACCAATGCGGAGGCAGTTGCAGTAATCCTGAGGAGAAAGGCTAGTGACCTAGATTAAGGAAGTGGATGGGAGGATGCCTGAGATATTTGATGGTGCCAGGTGTAGCTTTAGGAACTTTACCTAGGGAGAGACAGAGAGGAATCAAGGATGGCACTGAGATTTTTGGCTTTAAGCAACAGATTGGATGTTGAAGCCTTTCCTGAGATAGCCAATACTGTGGAGGATATTTGGGGTTTAACATGATGCATTCAGTAGCTGTTGGGTTTGAAGTGTTTGGGGACATTAATTCGACTGGAATGACCAATAAGTAATAAAATACATCACTCTAAGCATGAAATCCTTCCAGCGGCTCACTGTTACCAAGGGTACAAGTTCCAAATTTCTTAATAAGACTTACGATTTACCTTTTTTGGTTTCATCTCTGCCACTTATCTTCACCCACAGCTGCCCAGTCCAAATTCAATTTTTATTCCTCGAAGAGCTAATGCTGTCTGTCGACTCAGGGGCTTTGTGATACCTGTCCTGTCAGGAACTATTTTCTCCTTGCATTCCACAAAAAGTGAGAGCAAGGTAAGGTGCCGGGATAAAATGGTGAGCAAGGGATGACCTCGTCCATACCGTTGCGGAGCTTATAGTATAATGGCGTAGTTAGACCCTAATCAATAATTACACAAATAATTAAAAATTAAATTAAAAATTAAAATTGCAAATGATATCAGAGCTGCTAGGGGGTACCTAGTAAGGGTGAGAGCCCATAGTGGGGTTTTGACGTAGTGGAGACTTGCCTGAGAAAGTGAAGATCAAGTTGATTCAAAGAAGGAGGAATGCTTTCTAGGCTGGGAGAACACCCCTGCGAAACTAGAGAAATAGGCACTTTCCCTAAAACATCGAGGCCAGGAGAAGGGGTCGGGGGAAAGGGGATGGGAGGGAAGAAGAAAAAAAAAGAAAAAAAAAAAAAAAAAAAAGGAGCGACTCGGCTGTTTTGTCCCATAACAGCTGCCATACGGCCGTAGTAAGCCGCGACCTCGTCGCACTGATTACTGGGAGTTGTAGTCTCTACCTTTGCGAACAGGCATGGCGGCCTCTATTGCAGGGTGCTATGGAACAACAATGAGCCTGGCCCGGACTGTTGGAGCTGCCAGGACACTGCGCTCTACGCCGGCCTCTGTCACCTGCCGTAAGTGGAGCGAGGCTTGCGAGTCGGTTCGCAGAAGGGGCTCATGGCCAGGCCGGGGGTAGGCAAGCATGGAACTCAAGGGCGACCTCAGTGGAGGCCTCTCATGGGACCGCGCTGGGGGATATCGCAGGGTTCCACCAGGGCTCAGGGCAGGCCGGAGCAGTTTTGATTTCTGTTGTCTGCTTTCGCAGTGGCCCGCGCGGGGCCAAGCCGCCAGCAGAGCACTAGACCTTCTGAACCCGGCGCATTCCAGCCGCCGCCTAAACCTGTTATCGTGGACAAGCGCCGCCCCCAACGCCAGGAAACAAGGTGAGGTGTGGACCTGGGCGCGATTCCCTCTTTTGGGGTCTGTCCGCTCGTGAACCTGTATTTGCTATGGAGGTCTTGGCCCTAACGCGGGGTCTGAACTTCCCACTCTACCAACTTGTGTGCCGAATTGTTAAGCTAGTGTATGTAAAGCACACCCAGCTCAGGTTTGTCATCCTCGCTTCTCCCAAGCTGGCATTGAACTTTCTCAGTAGTCTTATTAGATCAGAATTTCAAGTAGGGATTCCCCAGATATCAAGCTCTTTACACCGGCATTTGGCCCGTATTAAGAGTCTTTATCTGAAGCACATCTTATTTTACCCGTTTACATTCAGGAGCCAGTCTTTCCTCGGCTTGGTGGAAATGGATTGGCCAGGACTCACCGTGTTTTACTTTCCTGGCAAATGCGATACAGTGGTAAACATTTCTGCTAATTTGTATCTGAAATTTGGTCTTTGAAATAGTGTGCTTAAAAACCTGGTTCACTTAAAATGGTGGTAACTTCGGAGTACATGTAAATTTAGTTGACTTGTGGTTTGTAGAAGGTGTTTCTGTAGACCTGAATAAACAGCCTTCTTAAAAAAACAGTTTTGAAGGAGGAAGACTTGCTGAGATTATAGGCTTTCTGAAAGGGCTTTGGGTTGTTGATTCAATTATCAGAGAGAGAGAGAGAGAGAGAGAGAGAAAAGGAGGAAGACTTGCTGAGATTATAGGCTTTCTTTGGGTTGTTGATTCAATTATGAGAGAGAGAGAGAGAATGTTTAACATTTCAGATATTCTATACTTCTGAGTTGAAATAAACTTGAATTATGGAACCTAGAAATTCATAAAAGATTTTGTTACACAACTTTTTTAAGGTAGAAAAGGAATATATCTCTTAAATGAATCTACGTTGTAATGTCATTGATGCTTTTCTATAGATAAAACATTTCATAATGACCTTAAAATCAGTTGAAGAGAATAGGGAGATTAATTTTAAAGTCAATTTGCAATTGATGAATTGTGTTTATATCTTTTCCAACATAATTTATTATATGCAACTCAACATGAGGCCTGTACTATGGTTGTAGGCTTTGGAGTTTGACAGATATGACTACATTTAAATCTTGGCATGATAAGTTTATAGCTGATGTAATAATAGGTCAGTTAATTACCCTCTCCAAGCTTTGTTTTCTTCATCTGTGAAAAAGATATGACACCAAACCCATCTGGTTGTTGTAAGATTAATTTATGCTATAGAATTTAATAAAGCTTTTAACACAAAAGCCAGGTGAATACTCAGGGTCGTTAGCTATTTTCAAAAGCACTCTCAACAATTTTAGAAATAAGATCGATTCTTATTTAGAGACGGAAGAATAAAACACTTCAAAACCATAATCTTTCTTTTTTTAGAGAGCAACAGATTCTTTTTAAATGGTCTTTAAAGTTTCCTTTTATTATTATTATTATTTTTTTCCTGCAGGTTCTTGAGTCCTGAATTTATTCCTCCAAGGGGAAGAACAAATCCTCTGAAATTTCAAATAGAAAGAAAAGATATGTTAGAAAGGAGGAAAATACTCCACATTCCAGAGTTCTATGTTGGTCAGTAAGAGCTGGATGCTTTTATTATTAGTGGCTTGTGGGTTAGTTTTCTTGGTATAGAGAAGATTGTTGTTTACATATATGGGTTTCGCCCATATGAGGTACTTATTTCTAATGTTATATTAAAATCTTCAGGATGTTATGACATTACCTAGAAATGCCATTGTTTCTGCATCTTATGTAAAAGTTCACTTCACTTTCGGTTGTAGGAAGCATTCTTCGTGTTACTACAGCTGATGCATATGCCAGTGGAAAAACCAGCCAATTTCTGGGGATTTGTATTCAGAGATCAGGAGCAGGACTTGGAGCTACTTTTATCCTTAGGAACACTATTGAAGGACAAGGTAGGTTCCATTTCATTATTTTGATTTTCTGGAAAATGTCGTCTCAGGATTCTTTTTTGTTTTCTGCATCCTTGGATAAGACATCGAAAGTGTAAGGGGCTCTGAGGGATGACATGGACCCTATGCCTCAAATGGTATGAGAATTGAGGTTGCTGATTAAATATGATTGGTGCTCTACTTTCTTTGAAGGCTTCTTTTATTACAGGGACAATAACTTTTAGAAGTAGACTTTGCAAACTATGGCAGTATCGCAGGAGGAGACAAGTGACTCTAAAGCAGTGTGGGGACATTCATTTTAGGAGCAAATAACCCATGAGAACATTATAAACATAATGATGTAACTTTATCCTAAAATGAACGGCCCCCATTTTGCTTTTAATTATAGGAGTCACCACAAGGATCAGTTTTATAAAAGTCAGAGGAATTTTTAAAATGGCAGAATTGTTTGCCTTGCTTAATAAGGCAGGAGAACAAGTGGTAAAATTTTAGAAAGATTATGAATCAAAATGGCAGAAATAGTAGTTTTCATACTTAATGTCGTATGCTTCATCATCTCCAGCAGTGAAGTATTATTGAACATATGAGAAGAAACAAAGAAATTGAACATATGAGAGCAATTTATGTCTTCTTTATTCTGTAATGGCCTGGGTGCTATACATGTAAGAGCTCAGGAGGAATTGACTGAGTACAGACGGTTGTGCCTCCAATCGTGATTTCTCCAATTGCATACTCGGAGAAACCTTGTCATAGACATGAGCGTAGGTGTGCATCAGAACAAGCTGTGTTTGATCTTTGAAGCCGAGATGATAATCGTTTCTACCTCTCAGGGTTGTGATCAGTTGATTGTGGGGTTGTATATGAAGTGCTGGACACAAAGTATTAGCTCCCTCTTGCCATTCTCTGCAGTATTGTTTCTACCTCTCAGGGTTGTGGTCAGTTGATTGTGGGGTTGCGTATGAAGTGCTGGACACAAAATAAAGTATTAGCTCCCTCTTGCCATTCTCTGCAGTACTATTTGACTGTAACCTGCCTGTACCTTTCCCATTGATACTTCCTTTTTTGTTTATTCTTTCTAGTCTGGTGGCTTTAAATACCACCCATACGATGACAGTTCCCAAATACATATCTTGAGCACTGACCCTTTCAGAAGTCCAGATTTGGCATCTCCATTTGGATGTCTTATATAAAGCATAAAACAAGTTCAAAACTCTTTTTTTCTCCTCTCAATGTGTTCTTTTCACGTTTTCTGTTTCTATAAATGGTACGCTCCCCACCATTTATTTAAACCAAAACCTTAGGCACTGTTTTTAATTATTCTGTTTCACACATCCAGTCAGTCAGCAAGTTTTCATAGCTCAGCTTTAAAACACGTATCCCGCCTTTGTCTGTTTCTCCATCTTCCTTGCTACTGCTCCTGTCCCTGCCATCACCCTCTGCCTGCAATGGTACAGTATCACTGGTTTACTTTCTTGGTCCATCAAGTGACTCTGCTCCAGACAGATGGGCCTTTTTCTAGTTTTTCTAACACGGCAAGTTCGTTAAGGCCTCAGGGCTTCTGCATTTGCCATTCTTTCTGCTTGGAGTATTCTTGGCCCTTTATAGTATCAGTTTAAATGTTGTCTTTTCAGAGAGGCTTTCCCTGACTGTACTGTTTAAAGTTAATCTCTTTCCAGTCTCAGTGTCATCACCCTATATTGTTTTCACTGTATGAAATTACCCTTTTGGTTTGTTTATTTATTGTTTGTCACCCACTAGATTATAGGCTTTATGAGAGGAGAAGGATCTCAACCTGTTTTGATTTTGCTTTAGACAGGGCTCCTAAATCAGGGCCTGAACCAAAATAGTTGTATAGTAAATATCGTATAGTAGATTCCTGCTATTAAACACTAGATGTTAATGTTCATTATGTATTTTACTATTTGTATTTCTCTTGGGCTTATTCTAGGAAACCTCAGAAAACACTCTTGCCCTTAAGCATTTAATGATATAGATGTTATATATTAAACTAGTACTTGTAGCATCTTGGAAGCACTCAAAGCCGTTCTTAGCTTGCTTCATATGGAAGGCTCTGGAGTTTTAAAAACCTAGGCCATCCTTAAGAGAGCTTCTAAACCAAAGTTAGGACTTAAAAATGTGCTTACTCTTTTTGCATCATTAAGTCCTGTTGCTTGTAAAGTAGAAGATAGTTTTATTTAAGTAATTGGGAAATAAATTAACATAGATTGAAAAATTTACTCAAATTTTCTTCTACTAAGTTAATATTATCAAATTTGAAGAGATATGTGACTATATTTATAGAAGATATTCTTTTGCATTTTATTCTAATTCAGATTTTCTTATTACTCTATATTGATTTTACTTTGTTTCTTTCAGTCATCTTTATTTTAAAGATTGCAAATTTATGTCACATTTCCTTTGTGTGAAACTCTGTGCTAGTTCCTTTATAAAATAGCTTTTATTATAGTGTGAGGCTTATGCATGAATCTGGATTTAGATTGTAAGAAAACATTTTCTTCTCTTTTTAGGTGTTGAGATTTGCTTTGAACTTTATAATCCCAGAATCCAGGAGATCCAAGTGGTCAAATTAGAGAAACGGTTGGATGACAGCTTGCTGTACTTACGAGATGCCCTTCCTGAATACAGCACTTTTGATATTAATATGCAGCCAGTAGTACAAGAATCTAGCCAAGAAGTTCCTGTTAATCAGGTATAAATTGTACATTTGGAACTGGAAGTTCAAGTATAAAATAAGAAAGAGTCATCTTAATGAAAACTTTTAGAAGAATTTTTCTTATGACTATCCGCCTAATTTATTCTTTTTTGTAAATATCTTCCATAGCTGAAAGTAAAAATGAAACCTAAGCCCTGGTCCAAACGCTGGGAACGTCCAAAATTTAATATTAAAGGAATCAGATTTGATCTTTCTTTAACTGAAGAGCAAATGAAAGAAGCTCAGAAGTGGAGTCAGCCTTGGCTTGAGTTCGATATGATGAGAGAATATGATACTTTAAAAATTGAAGCCGCGATATGGGATGAAATTGAAGCATCGAAAAAGTCCTGATCTGAGAATGAATTTAGCGTCTTATGGAGGAGGATATACTGACCACAGAAGATTTTTTTAGAGACCAGTTTAATTTCATGTGTAAGGACATAGTCATTAAATCAGCTAAGCATTCATTATTTTATGAGTACTGTTTTTTAAAAAAAATAAAATGAGTACATCAGTTTATTATTTTAAAAAAAGAAATATACATGCCAATTGGTCCTGTGTCGATTCTCTTACTGGAGGCAAAGCTACAATAGGGTCAGACTCTTACCAGAATGCTTTTCATTAAGCCTGGAATCTGAACAAGGAATGGGTGAAATAAGTATACAGAAAAGTGTAAGATTTAAGGAATAATAGTAAAATGAGCATTCATGTACCCACCATCAAGTTATGTAAAACATTTAGTAATATCTGAGAAAGTTAAATAGAATATTTACTAGGATCTGAGAAGACTCTTGTGTGTCTGCAGTTGTATCCCTCCCCTCTCCCAGCTGTAGGCACTATCCTGACCGTTAATTGTTCCCTTGCATTTGTTTTAGTTTGTTACGTACATATGCGTTCTTAATATATTCAGTTGAACATAACAGTCTTTGGGTCATAGTCTAGTTTCAGTTTCCATGAGCTTACAAAAAAAAACACTTTTGAGGAAGTTCATGGCTAAGGCCATGAGTGAATTCTGCTAAATAGAAGGCTCACCACAGGGCTTTGGCAGGGCTATAGTGTAGATGGAGTAATTGGCGTCTGACAGAAATGTGGTTGGAGAGAGTAGACTGCTCTGTATTTTCTGGTTCTCAGCTCATGATGAATCAAACTCCAGCTTGTAAGAGTAGGTCAGAACAATACTTCAGTAGGGTGATACGAGTGTCTTGCTGAGAATGGAATGGAAAGCTGGCAGGTAATCAGTCACACATGGCAAACACCGGTCTACAGGTAGTTTGGGCCAGGCTTATCTGGACATGGCTGTGCCACAGGTTAAAAAGAGTACAGTACTAGCATGGGTCTTGGTGAGGGCAACACTCAACCTGTCTGTTGAATCATGCTGCTCAGATCTATACTCCGGTGCCTAGTTATTTTGGGACTTGCATTCACTTCTCTCCTGTGCTGATCTGTTTTCTGGTTTCTTTGTTTTCATTTTATTGGCTACTAACTAGTTTTAGTAGAGCAAATTCTTTTGTTAGCTTCTGGAGGAAGTATATATGGAGGTACATTTTTGGAAACCTTGTATAGCTGTAATATTTGATACTTTATAAAATTCTAGGTGGAAGATAATTTTCTTCCAAATTTCAGAGGTATCACTCCGATGCCTCATGTTGAAAAATTCAAAACCATTTTGATTTCTGCTGCTTGTATGTGACTTGAAAGTTTGTAGCATATCTTTGTGCTCAGTAATTTCACAGTGATGTGCCTTGAAGTGAATCTATTTTCTTTATATTGGGCAGTCTGATGAACCCTTTCAATGTGGTAACACATGCCTTTCGATTCTGGGAAACAGTGTTTAGTGATGATTTTCTTCTGCTTTTTCTGGAACTTATTTTTTGATGTTGAATTTCTAAGACTAGATCTCTATTTTTCCTACCTCTGCCTCCATCTCTGTGTTTTAGCTCTTTAATTCTTGGCAACTCTGCTATCATGTTTTTAAATCTCAAGATCTCTTTAATTTCTGAAAGTTCCCTTTCTTAGATAGTACTCTGTCCTGATTTTTTATGCCTGTCTATGGATTTGTTCTGTTATCACTGAGGATATTCATGATAGTGTTTGTATTTTTTTCTTGTGAAATTGCTTTTCTGCAGCATCTCTTTTCTCCAAATTTCTTCTTTCTGTGGGTATTTCTTTATATTTTAGGCTTTTCCTAGACATCTGGCAATCCTTTGTTGTCTTCTTATGGTTGAACACTGAACTAAAACTGGTTTGAAGCCTTGGACTTGTAGGAAAGGGTTGTCTTTAAGGTTATCTGGGTGGCTGTTTCTTTTTTTAGAAATTCTCTCCTACTTGAGAATGTCTTGGTTTGGTCAGACTCTCCAGAGTAGAGGATTCAAGTCTTCCTGGCAGTAAGGCTCTATCTGCCAGTGTTTTGGGAGCCATATTGGGGAAGAAGAACGGGATTTGTGGCACTCTACATGGATATGGCTGTCCTGTCCTCCTTTCTTCCCACTTTTGGCTTAGTACCCAGTATCTGCAGTCCAGAAAACTTCTCTAGAGAATGAACTTCTGGACTTCAGCTGGTGTGGGGAAGGGCGGGACAAACAGTAGGGGTGCGGGTGTGGGGAAGGGTGGGACAAACAGTAGGGGTGCGGGGGTGTCAGGGCTATAACCTCCAAGTATTCATTAGGTTCTCCTTATTTTAGCCATTGTCCTTTACCCCCGGTTGCCAAGGTATTGGACCTGCTGACTGGACAATTCTAAGGGATGAGTTGGGTTGATTCTCACCCTTTTCCACTGCCAGCTTGATTCTTGAGTTAGCCAGTCCATCCATAGGCTTTTTCAGCTTTCAAAATTTTGTTCTGATTGTTTCTTGTGCTGTCCTCTCCTGTGGATTTAGGTCTCATCCATACGCTTTTCAACTTTTACTGCTTGTACCTTGTCCTGTTTTCTCTCCTTCCTGTGGGTTTGTCTTTTTCCCTGTGGTGTATTTTAATGCTATTTGAATAATTCATCTGACAAATTAACCTATTTAGTCATTTTTCCAGTAATATAGTTCTCTAGAAGAAAATTTCAAATAGTAATCTTTGGGGTTCTTAACATTCAGTGCTACTTTGATCTTTTTTACTAATAGAAGTTACACAGCCATCTAACTACTTTCTAAAAGCAACAGACATACCATATTTAGATTACTTGCTGATACAGCCTCTCAAAATTTTAGTAAGAGCCTATATTCTGTATTTCTCTTTAACTTGTTGGAAGATAACCATTAAAATCTGTTCTCTTTACACTGTTAAACACACTTCACCCTTCTTGGTAGAAGGTCAAATAAATGATACATTTCAGTATTTAAAGCTGTGTAAATGTATGATTAGCTCATAAGTACTTGTGCTCGTAACGCGGTCATGTTTTCATTCTGTAAGATTATCTTGAAAATTCTTGTGATTTCTCCCCCAGAAACAAAGCAAATCTTAATACGTTAAATGTGTGTAGTATAAACATTTTTATTGTAGTAAGATATATAGAAAAAATTTGTCATTTTAGCCATTTTAAAATGTACAATTTGTACAGTGGGATTAATTACATTCACATTATTGTGTAGCCATCACCACTGTTTTCAAAACTTCTTCATCACCCCAGAGACTCTAAACATTAAATAATAACTCCCTGTTCCTTTCTTTCCCCTCAGCTGATAAATTAATCTCTCTTCTCTATGAATTTACCTTTTCTAGATACTTCTTATAAGTTGAATCATAATATTTGTACTTTTGTGTCTGGCTTGTTTCACTTAATATATTTTCAAGATGCCATGTTATAGCATGTATCAGAATTTCACTAATGGCTAAATAATATTCTATTGTATATATATACATCATGTTTTGTGCATCCATCTATTGATACAGGTACAAATAGTTATTTGTACCTTTTGGTTATTGTGAATAATGCTACAATGAACATCTTTATGTATTGCGTACCCAGTAACAGAGTCATAAGTATGTTCTATACATTTGTCTTTTAAATCATGTAGGAGATAAAAAGTGGAGTTACAAAGCAGAATTACACTAATACTAGCTTAGCTTTTATATTTTCACATCTATTTACCTTTACTGGAGATCTTATTTCATCATACAGATGTCTTTTGGTATGCTTTGACTTCTTTATCATGTTCTGTGTAATTACTACAAGTCTTTCCCCCTTGTAGTTACCATGAGACTTACATAAAATATCTTAAAATTATAACACCCTGTTTTAAATTGATAACTTCAATAGCACTCTTAAAATTTACTTGACTTCTCTCACAATAGAGGGTTGATGTTATAGTAAACATTTTTTATATTGTGTATTCAATAACAGATTATTATATATATGGTTATTTTTACTACATTTGCTTTTTAACTTTTAAGCTAGAATTGTATGTGAATTACTGTCATTACCATATTACAGAATCTGACTGTCATTACCAGTGTATTTTATACTACCTAATGTTTTTATGATGTTAATTAGTGTCCTTTTCCACTCAAAAAATTCTTTTAGCATTTTTTAAGGCCTGACAGTCTCTGTCAGTGTTGCTGGGCTATACAGTTTTCCATGTTGTCCCAGTTAGACTTTTGGGTTAGGTGGGGCTGGGAGCTACACTTAGCAGTGGGTTGGGCTATGAATTAGCAAGTCAGTAAAGCCAGCTCCAAGCATCCTCCCAGGTGTTCCCGGTTAGGCTTTCTGGTCAGGAGAGGCTGGGAGCTACAGTTAGCAGTGGGTGGGGTTATGAATTAGCAACTCTGCTTGAATGGAGCAAGAGAACTAGCTCCAACCCCAGAAAAACTTTATGGTCATGACTCAATCCAGCCTGCACCCCAAATTCCCTGAACAGTGTCACTGACTTTGCTCTGCAGACCATCAGCTCTGCCTGCTGTACTCGGCTCCAGTGTTTCTCAGCTATGAAGCTTCCAGGTGGTTCCACCAGGCTTTCCCTGTGAGGTGAGACTGGATTGGGACACCCAAGAAACGTCCAACTGTGGTGGGGGTGCTGGAGTCCAGCCTGGGCACTCGTTTCCCACTGGAGGAAAGTCGGTGTGGTGCTGCCCTGGCCCGGGGGAAGGGGCAGTGCGTTCAGCGGTCAGCGTGTAGCCGCTCCTTATCCTCCTAATGCCGTCTGTCTTGGTCGCTGTGGTACAGGGGTGAGGGAGTTGTGTGTGTGTGGGGCGGGGGGTTGTTGCTTTGGCTTCACCCCCCATGTTCTAGGATTTTCTCGGTTGTCTCTTACCTTTGAATAGTCTAGTTGCTCTTTTGAGGAGGAGAAAAGTCTTGTATGACTTGTCTCCCTCTTGGTGATGTCCTACCATTTTAAAGTTGCCTTTTTCTTGATTCAATATTTGCTTGGTTGCTATAAACTTTTGACTGTTTTCTAGAGTTTCGAAAAAG